TGTATTTCCAAATTCTTGTTAAAATCACACTAATCTCTGTGGAAGCATATGGTCTTTTGCTGGTTCATGGATCACATCACCAAATGCTGAAGTATCTCATCCATGATCAGAGTTATGAAGTCTGAAGTTCACACACACTGGAAAGACGGACAGAAACACAATGTGGAGCATCATTCTGACAGCTCCTTTAACCGCTTTTTCTTTTCTTAAAATTCCATTTTTATATTAAGGTCCTCTTTGAAAATGAACAAACCTCAAAATCAAATTCTGTCTGTGTACGAACTTAATATAATAGTACAAAGTAATAATGACACAGCCACGGGATATGTGTACGTGTTGTGTGTTCTTGTACATGTGGGAGAAAAAGAAAGGGGATTGCTTTACTCTGTTCTATCTCTGGAATATAATACACACACACACACACCACCAATGAACATAAACCAAGCTTAAAATAGCTTCGTGTTTCCACATCCCTTCAGTCACTGATCTCCATGATCTTTTGGAGATCAACTAATGCTTTGTGGATCTCCATTTTCACTTTGCACACAATGAATTATAAGAATTGTAACACAAGGGTCTGGAGAGATGGCTCAGTGGTTAAGACCATTGCCTGGTCTTCCAAAGGTACTGAGTTCAATTCCCGGCAACCACATGGTGGCTCACAACCATCTGTAATGAGGTCTGCCTTGCAGACATATACACAGACAGAATATTGTATACATAATAAATAAATATTTAAAAAATAAAATAAAAAAGAATTGTAACAAAATTCTTATAAATATTAAGTAAGAATGTAAGAAAATTTCTCTCATGCCTGTGATCTTAGGATGCATGAACATGAGACAGGAGGATCTCGGGTGAAGACCATCCTGTTTTACACAGGGAGACCGTCTTTGGGGTAAAACATAAATAACAGAGAACACACAGTGTTCTGCACAGTATCCACATAGCTGACGCGGTAAAGGTTCTTATTCTTTACTTATTTTCTATTATGGTGTTTTGCCTGCACGTATGTCCGTGGAATACATTCATTCACTGTTTGAATAGCTCAGAAGAGGGCATTGGGTCCTCTCATACTGGAACTACAGGCAGCTGTGAACTGCCATGTACATGCTGGGGATCAAACCCAGGTCCCTTGTTCTTAACCTCTGAGCCATCTCTCCAGCCCAAATATTCTTATTCATAATAAGAAATCATTGTTATTGTCACCTTGCCATGGAAGAAAACAGGGTATGCATCCAGAGAGCAGTACTGACACTGTCGGTGTTAGTTCTGTGACCTTGGCCAGTCTTTTCTGCTCCTTTTGCCTCTCTCGAGCCCCCTCATCTTAAGGCCCTTCTGGTAACATTCCAATCTAATAGTTGTTTTATTATGTTTCTAAGGCAGGCTGGACTCCCCTGTTACAAAATTTACAATTCCCTTCATAATAAAAACAATGCTTTATTACTAGCTATATCGCAGCCTTTTTCCTTGTTATTTTGAGACAAGGTCTCACTAAACTACCCAGGCTAGTATTGAAGTCACTCAGAGGCTCCGGATATTCTCCAACCTGAATTCCATAAACAATAGGGGTTCAGGCCGGCATCACCAGGCCAAACTTCAAACAATAATATGCTCAGGATAAATTAATGTCCTTTTACTATAATAAATATAATTTTTATATTTCAGTAATCAATAAAGATTTATTATAATAAAAGTCACAGATAAATAAATACATAAAAAGTAAATTTCCTTTGTTTTAAAAACCTTAGATTGCAAATGTACTATTACTGGGATTCATGTATTATTTTAAAACCCACCCCAGGTTAAACCGTTCACATATAGGCCATTTATGACTGATAGCTGGTAGGTCTGATTTTGTAGGTGCTTTTGCTTTTGTCATAGAACAAAAGGTGTAAAATATAAAAAAAACCATAAAACATGGATTTTTAAAATTCATAAAATCGACTCCCGCTCATAAAATGATGAACGGAAGGTAAATGGATTCAGGTAGCAAAACTCATCCCTGGAGGAATCTTGTCTGCTGTGAAAGGAAAGGCCACATTTTATAGGAACCCATAATGATAAGCAATCATGTCAGAATGAATGCCAAAAGCTTTTCAAGTACATCAGGCACCTGTCTCAGAGAGGGCCCCATGTATGATCTAAGCCTATAAACAATGGGAAAGATAAAACTGCTCTTCACGAGTCGGTCATGGGTGTTTTTCCAGCACCTTTGACCACAGAGCTTCACGGAATTGCAGTCTACACTAACATGATCAGAAGGAGTGCTTGTATTATTGAGCAGAGCATTTCTGCATCACCCGTAGCTTCTGTTTGTATTGTGTCGAGTCAGATATTTAGTCAATACCTGAGACATTTATTCGCAGCTAGTCAATTATAACACTAGGAAGCCAGCTGTTGAATAAACTGTGCTATTAATTTTTCATTGGAGATTCATGTTTGAATGACCATGCATTTCGGAGATTTAAATACTGGAAGGCTTATTATCCTGAAAGCACCATTAAGAGGATAGCATAGATTACAACTGAAAACAATCCTGGCAGGGCTACAACATGCTATGCTCCCCACCTTTCTGGGATGGACGTCCTTCCCTACCTATCATAGTGTGCTCCCCTAAATGATGTTTTACTAAAACCTTAGACAATAAGCCTTAATATTTTCTTATTCACAGAAATTCCTTATTTCATAAAGGCAATGCAAATAAGAAAGATAATCTCCCTAGTAGTCAATGTCAAATTAGTTTTTTTTCTTTCAAATGATTCCCACACAATGCTGTTATTTCCCCATCCTAATGCCTTCAGACTCAAAATGCAATTTATAAGACGGGATGACAATTTATTTCTATTCTGTGTTTTCCTTTAAAAAGCAATTCAAGCTTGAAATTAATCAAACTGGAGACAAGAATGCCCTACACTCTAATATGGTACCATGGCATTCGGGACATCACCAGAGGTGGAAAGCTACTTGTACTTTTTCCACCAAACTTCTGCCAAGGAAGTCACAAAACTGAAAGAAAAATTTCATGACCTTTTTTTTCTGAAGCAGATTGTATATCTTCATTTGAAAGACAGTTGCCTATCTTCAAAAAAGAGAATCAAAGGCCCAGAAATGTCGAAAGTCTGAGAGAACAGGCAATGCTATGTCCTCAGTTTACTGAGGTTGCATCCACATTCCCTCTGTCCAAGCACACTCCTCAACTGACCCGCTCCTCTTCACGCCTACGCAGAAAAACACATAGGTTTCTCTGCCTCTCTGGGTTTTCTTTTTCAAAGGTTTCCATGCCACATAGAGTTTATCTTTACTAAATTATTCTGCTATTTCTTATGCCATGCTGTCAAATTTTTGTTAAAAAGGGCTTTTCTATTAGGCAAGAGATAGGTAAGACAAACAAACAAACAAAAATGTTTCCCACCTTATAGAGGGAAACATGAAGGTTAAATTTGTATCCAGAAAATTAACTGGACTATGGATAACACTTGCAATGTATCCTTGAGTGACTGAGAAGACATGGAAAATATCTCATTTCCTCAAAGTACACTTGATATTTTTCCAATATGATACCAACTAAAGAAAGAGGAACAGAAGTTTAACTATTCAATATTATCTAATTTATGCTAAAACCCTTTGGCAGAGATTGTAATTTTTTTATTTGTTCGCACTTTGGAGGAAATGATGGATTTTGTGTATTTTTAAAATGGGGCAAGGAAAAATAATTGTGGTCCAATTAAATAAATGACTAAGAAGAGACAGATGTCACACTCATTCATTAAAATGTCTACCTCTTCTGTATTTTAAAACCTGAATGATTCTCCCCTAAAATCATCTCCCCTAAGTTTCTTTTGACATGATTTCAGCAAATTAGTTTTCTAATTATTAATTCAATATCCCAGTTTTATATTACCCATAAAGTTAGTATATGTGAGTATTCAGATCTTTGGAGAAATACAAGTGAACAGACAGATATCTAATATTTATAACGAGTAAAGCCATTAAAAGTATGAAGAGACAAACTCAATGTTGCCATATTATATGAAAAAGTGGATAAACTGTTAAAATTTTTATTTGGTACCTCACAAACACTAACTTGGCTCCTGACGTCATTTTTCTCTAAACATAAATGGATTTGCATCAATAGAATGCTGTGATTTGCACACAGAGAACATGAAGCTGACAGGCATAAACTAAAAACCAGGCGTGGTGACACACACCTTTAATCCCAGCATTCTGGAGGGAGGTAGATGGATCTCTGTGGGTTTGAGGCCAACCTAGTCTACAAAGTAAACTGCAGGACAATCAGCACTGTCTTGGAATAGATAGATAGATAGATGAATAGATAGATAGATAGATAGATAGATAGATAGATAGATAGATAGATAGATAGTAGCCTCCCTACACAAAACACCTGATAGAACACAACCCAGGAAGACACTCAGCTTGCTGAGAACCGTTCTCTTTTACACTAAATCCCAAGACCATAAGAACAGTGTTGTGAGGAATATTAATTTGCATTTTAAGTAAATTATATTTACATATCATCTCAATGAGAGTAACGTGGTGATAGTCCTTCTGGAATCCTGAGTTCCACTTTGAAAAAGAACTAAGATTATTTCAAATAGCCGATATTGTGTCTTGTCTTAAATGACTCTGACTGATAATTCCGAATGAACTAACAATTCAGTGTATGAATAAAATCTATATAGCGACTCTGTGAAAAAACAGGGATTTATATGTTATATCAAACTCAGCTCTTAGATGAAAATGTTCCGCGCCTCAAGCTGCACCTTCTCTCTAGTCTGTTTCTCATGCTTGACAGAACTTGGCACCATCAGCTTTCTTTTTAACACGTACTCTCTTTCCATTCCCACCCTGCATGCCCTCCCTGAAGTTCCTTTAGTTCAATATAGCACATTATCGTTTTTCCCTCAGACGCCCATACATGCGATTGCCAACAGAGACAATTCAACAACTTAACACATTTATAAAAACACAGAAAGTACCTGGACATAGGCTCTGCAAGAGCGCTCTCTTTTCTGAAGCTGAATCCATTAAGACAGCAGATTAAACACAGAATAGAAAAAAACAAGTTAGTGACAGAAGAAAAATAAAAGAAAACATCCACATAAGCACCTTACTTTTTTAATCGCTACTTTTACAGAAGAAAACGAAGGCTATGCTGCAGCAATATGGCAGACAAAAAAAAAAAAAAAACTTTTTTTCTGAGCAGCCCACCTAAAAACAAGACCGTGGAAACTGTTGACAGAAAGAAACCTTTGAACACATTTAGTAGAAATTAGTACAGATCAATAGACATTCATGTGAAATGGTCCAGGGCACTTCTGGTTAGTTATTCATTTATGAGCCGCTAGTGGAGACATAAGATGGTAAGTCAACTATGCAAAAAGTTTGGAACCCATTATTTTAAAGAGAGATTATGTTTGGTTTTCAAGACAGCCTAGATGGTCGATTGTGTGTTTATATTATGCGTTCATTCATACCTTCAAAATCCTACTATAAGCAAGATAGACATGTCCATTCCCTGTGACTATATTTACCCCTATGGGACAAATAATGAGTCAGATAACTGGAGATTACAAGAATGTGATTCATTTCCTGACTTGTTGCTTCTTTTATTTCTTAAAGAACTGGATTTGACAGTCTTGGCCAAAATAGAAAACATTTTAGAAACTAGTGGGGTAAGAAGCTTGATTTAATTTGTTTTTGTTGACAGAAGTGGTATTCAGGCCCCAAACATTTTCTCCTGATGCTAAAATGAATAATCAATAACCATTCATTCATGCTGTTTAAATGAGTGACCCAAATTTTGATAAATCAAACTCTGGGGTTTCATATTTTCTCCTGGGTTTTTCAGTTCCCTTGGTTATTAGCCTTGAAATGCAAAATAGAGTTTATCCAGTTTTAGGAAGTACTTAATCTAACACTCTTTGTGTAGCTGGCTAATACTGTAGCAACCCTAATGCAGGCTTTCTTCAATGAGGGAGCAGTAACTTTGCTGAAGAATGAAGTCAGGAGTGAGAGCAAGTGAATCACCAATTCTGTCATTCAGATCACTGACTCACATCACAATTATGTAGGGCTCAGCTCTCCAGAATTTCAATGTGGAGTGCAATTGATTTGTACCTAGTTGACTTTGCAAATCTGATGGGCTGTAACTGCTTTGGGGAAAGTAGGAACCACAGGAAATGAGAGCAAGCCAGCAAAGCACATGAGGAACCTTTGCCCTCCCATCTCCCCACCCCTTCATGCAAATTAACATATGACCAAGTGCATTATATAAACAATTGGAGAGCGCCAAATGGGAAACAAAAGAGAGCATTAAAAAGCCCCAGGAATGGAAATTTGCCTATTATGTAGTTATTTGATATTCAGTCTAGGCAAGCTGATTAGCTGTAGCCAGTTAGAATGTGACATTAATTGCCAGCTTTACCTGATAGTCCCAGACATCAACACCACTTTTAAATAAAGATACAAAGTATTGCAATAAGAAGTCATGTTATGGATATGTAACATTAATAGAAATCAGTACTCCCAGCCCATTATTATAAGAATAGCTGGCAGCCATGTTCATTAGTAGCATCAAGTCAGCGAGGGTAATAATGCATTAAAGTCACAGCATGCCACAGCATATAGGCAGCTGCCGAATATGCCATCAGAGACTCGGATGTGATTGTTTCAGGACACAAGAGAAAAAAAGAAATAACTCCTTCTTACTCAGCATGACAAAGAAACCTAATACATTATATCTTAATAAATAAAGACGAAAATTACATTTGCTTACCAAAGAAACTGAAGCAAGAGCTATCTGCCAGAAAAAAAAATCTGGCTTTTTAATGTTGAATGATTATTATATAAAAACATTTTTTCCATTTTAATGAGCGGCAATCTTAGCCCACCAAAAACAGAGAACTAAAACCAGTAAAAGACAAATTTATGACTTTTTAAATTTCCAGTCTAAAGGGAAATATTTTAAAAATGAATTTCTTAGAGGAGCATTAGTCTTCCACTGTCAAAATTTTTTATTTTCCAGGTTGGAAAGATGATGTTAACAGTCCAGGGCACAGAATTCAGCTATTCCATTTGTGAGTATCTACATTTGATGCTAACCATCTGACATCATGATATTAGTCTACCATGTAATATTTAGTTATATATACATATGTATATAGATAACTGATATTCTTTATAAATATGCAGCATATACTTTGTGCTTACAATTATACAAGATATTTATGCACATAAAATGTTTATTAAAGTACGAAAAAAGTCATAAAGTATATTTCTTGAAATGAAACATATTTAAATTTGTTTATTTAAAGTTAAAATCTGATGGGTAAAGATTCAAATATCTGAGTCATTTACAAATTAAAATGAAATGTATATTTTAATTCAGTTTCTTGCCCTACCAGTTTTTAAAAGAAATACTAAGTAGGTAAAATTATCTTATTAAAAAATATGAGAAAAAAATCTAATGGATTTGTTAATGTTTCCTAGATTTCCACCTCCTGATTAAAAACTATTTACACTGTCAATTATTTTGAGAGAGGAATTTGTAGGAAACAATAACCAGTTGCATTCATCTACACTAATTTTGCTATTATTTAGCATAAAAAAACTGAGAAAGTAATACCAAAAGTAGAACTAGAAATACAAAAGACTGGCATATATTTCCCTAAATTAAAAGTCAACTAAGGTCATAATTAAAATAGTAAAGTCAATTAAATATAAGTATTGGTGTGTTTTTTTTTAATCATACAACTTGCCAGAAGAAAGAAAAAAAAAAACAACACAAATGTCTCAAAACTGTCTTAAAACTGAAAGACAGACACAGCTGAGGTTCTCACCTTGTTCAAGCTGCGCGCTGCACTGTCTTTCCCGCCTGGGGTCAAATTCCGGAGCTGTACATCCAGGAGGCCAACCAGCTGGTCCATGGCGCGGACTGAATAGGTGATGTCCCCAGCATTCAAATGATTTCTGGTCTGTTCTGCCAGCTCTCTAGCAATATTGGCAGCTGTCTCTCCAGACTTTAACTATAATTTTAAATGGAAAGGAAAAATGCATTTATATATTTTTTTCCATTGGTCTCCTTTAGCAATTGTTTGTGCATTGTCAATTAGAGTTACTGAGTCAAGAAACACTTTTTAAATTCCATCCTCAATCCACAGCACTCTATAAAGTTTCCTGATAACTCTCAGCCTTTTCTCTGAAGCCTGACTTTCAAATCATGTGTTCAAGAAGGCTTTTTGAGGATACTTTCTCCGAAAGATTATTTCTCTCCTAAGTTAGTCGTGTGGGTGGTTAAGTCTGAGGTGTGTCCCACAATTTTCTCTGCCAGTCTCTAAGTTGGACTTTGGTGAGAGGTTCTTGTAGGTCCCTACTCTATATTCTCAAGAAGCTGCCCATGCTTCTCACTGTGCCAAGATGAGCAATTAATGGACTAAGGGAACTCACGGGTTTCAAAGTTCTGTGAAATTTACTCTTGGTGAAATTCCTGCTTTCCTCCTACCAAACTAAGACGTTTTCTCCCAATATATTGTGTAGCAAATTACTCCCGAACTCCCGGTAATTTTCCTTTCTGAAACACATTGATTTTTAAATATATTCTTCAAAACATAACCAATTGTTAAAGATGTTAAGGGAACTAAAGACAATATTCCATGACCTCCCGAATATACTTGGCAGCCTTGATACAAGAAAATACAGACATAACTTCATTCATAAGAATGATGTGAAATATATCTTTACGAAGTAAATAAGTACCACTTCCCAGTTCATAATGTTCATTATCATTTTAAATTCTTAGAATTAAATTTAAATAATAATTTGAGTTTCTGAAACAATACTACAGCACACTTTCATAAGGAAGAATGTAATGAAAAACTCTTCTTTAGATTCCACTTTCCAGAGAGTGTCTTATGTTCATCTTTCTAAACTATTACCTGCTCCATTGTCAATTAAACATATGTAGATCATTATTTATGGGTTAGTTTTCTTATCCTCTCATGTTCTTGTAAGATGGCCAGTATAGACTATAATAAACAAACAGATAGGAATTTTCTTTTTGTAAATTGTTTCCTAGTGATAATTAAGGAAGACACAAACTCATTAGAATAGCAAGTGAAGAAGGGTTCACTATGGGATGCTTCGTGTTCTCAGCAGGCCCAAACACTTAAAAACAAACTGATATAAAAAAAAAAAAAACTAATAAGTAAATTGCAGTGATCAGAACATCTACACAATGTATAATCACAAACATATACATATGTGCATAAAAAACCTAATTCAAAAATTAAATGCAATAATAGCAAGCACTAGCAAGGTTATGGAAATGACTATCACTCCCATAACTCTGGCGAAGAGTTTATAATTACATAGCTCCTACACAGGGTAAACTCTTGATGCTAAGTCTTATTGCTGTTGAATAATTACATAGCTCCTACACAGGGTAAACTCTTGATGCTAAGTCTTATTGCTGTTGGATATAAGAAATAATCTCCTGATGTCAAAACTAAACATTCAGAGACATCCAATCAGGCTTGTGCCCAAAAACAGTAGAGGTTATGATAATACAGACTCGCTCAATTATAAATGTACAATTTCAACAGTTTAAAAGTATGAAGGAGATTAACGGTGTTGATATTTCTTTAAAATACACTGCTAGAATTATACTACTTAGAAAATATTTCAAATATGTACATATATATCTGTGTTTATATATTTATCTATATTAATACACTTAAATGTGTGGACCAAAGCTTGAAAATTCAGAAATAAAAGAAAAATTATTATTGGTAATATTTTAATTTCACAAAAATATATTCACATTATATAAAACTGTTAGTAAAGTTATTGTTAAAATAAAATCATTATTTTGCAGAAATTATTAAAGTAAAATTAAGCAAACAAAAACGGAGCATATCAATTATAATGTAATGGGTTCAAAAATTTCTTTAGGATCTTTATATTTAAAATACCTGTAAGATCAAATGATCTACACTACAGATTTGAAGGATAACTATGCAACAAATTTTTTTATATACCAAAATACCATTCATAGCCTACCAGTACTTTATGAAATTACATTTAAACAGCAACAAAGTGACCAATCTGAGATTTTTTTTTATTAATGATGTAAAATGAAATGCTACAATATAATGAATCAACAAAATCTAAAATTCAGTGGGCTGGGTAAATAGCTCAGTTAGACCTGGACTTAATGCCAATACAGAAAGAAAGAAAAAGAGATTCAGGAGGGGAAGAGAAAATGGAGACATACAGGAAATGAGAATGTAAGCAAAGAAGAAAGAAATTTCAATATTAATAGATTAGTAATCAATTGTGACCTGTTAGGTGCTAGTGGCACAGAAAAAAGCAATAGGTCCTTGAAAGCGGCAGATTCTGTCTTGTCGTGTGCCTGTAGTCTTGAGTTCAAAGGTCCTGCACAAATTAAAAGCTAGTCCTGCCACTCCAAACCAGTGGCTGTGGACTACTTTGTCAGGCAAGCCAAGAGAATGAATTTCACAGACAATGGGTAAGTATAGAAAGGAATTTGATTGTAGGACTTTAAGTAAGACTTCAAAGAAGGGTGCAGGAGGGAAGGAGGGAAGGAGTTCTGGGAAGTAGATGCTATGTTAATATTTAGTATGTGCTTACTGACATTCATTTACATGTTTTTCTGAACTCAAACACCTTCCTTGGATGATTGTTTTCTTTGTTTCATTCATGTAGAAAAGCACACTGAAGCTGAAATAAGTTGTCTACAACATTAGACTGTAGTCCACACCATGCTTTCAGGTCCTCAGACCGCGAGACTAGCAGATATAATGTGCATAGGCCAATGGAAGTTGACACTGAACTTGTAATTTTGTGGCACAATTTGGAGGTGATAGAACTAGGAGGTAAGGTATGGGTAGAGGAAGCAAGCCACTAGAAGTGCACCCAGGAAGGGTATATCCTGTCCTGGCATCCTTTCTTCCTTTGCTTCTTGGCTACTGGGAGCAAGGCAGGCATCTCCTCTGCCATATACTCCTGCTTCCATGATGGTCAACCTTATCTTGGGATCAAAGAAATGGGATCAGTACTGTGGGCAGAGACCTCTTAACCCATGGGCCCGTATAAGTCTTTTCTCTTTTAGGTTGGTTTTTGTCAGTTTTTATCACAGTAATGGAAGCTGACTAAAAATATCCCCTGATCACCATCCATACTGTCCTTAGCTGAAAAGTTGATTGATGAGCACTTTCTTCTTTACTATTCTTGGGTCACTTATGGAGTCGTTATTTATGATACTTTCTCTAGGGTGTTGTTTGGTTTCCAAGATTGACCTTCTGGAATCTTGGAATCTGGAATCTTGGAGCGAGGGCTGGTAAAAATTTCTGATGTATAAATTGCATATGTGCATGAATACTTAAGGCTATATTTTATTTTTAGGTAAAAAAGTATGTCTAACTCTATCAGTTTATCTGACTGCAACTATCCATCCTCTATCTATCTATCTATCTATCTATCTATCTATCTATCTATCTATCTATCTACCTATCTATCCATTCTCTATGTATGCATGCATGCATGTATCTATCTATCCATTTGTCTTCTATGTATCCATTGTCTATCTATCTAACTATCCTCTATGAATCTATCTACCTATCTATATACAGATTTATTTATCTACCTACATATATTGATAGATAGATAGATAGATAGATAGATAGATAGATAGATAGATAGATAGATAGATGATAGAGGACAGATGGATGATATATATAGATAGGCCTCTATCTATCTATCTATCTATCTATCTATCTATCTATCTATCTATCTATCTACATACCTATCTATATATAGATCTATCTACATTTCGTTTTTCTTGCATGAATAAATCATTTGAACAATAGATCATTTAACCTGAATGTACAGTTGCTCTTTAATGAACACTTGCATTATTTAATGGGTGTAGGACTGAATCACAAGCCTCAATGAAGCGTCAACCCTTACTCTCCCACTGAACTTCACCCATTGCCCCATGCTTGAATGTCTGTACCATGTTAAAGTCTGTGAATACGGTAATGAAAAAGATGAGATCCTAGCAGCAGTAAGTTATGAAAAACATATCTCTGCACATACTTAGTTTATTTAATGGAATACAGAAGCCCTGTGAAGTAGAATTGTTAGTAAGAATTTTACCTAGAATGTGTGAGGGTACTTTTTGTTTAATTTATGAAATGCTTCTCTGAGGCAAGTTTAATTTGAAATGTCATGGGAAAGAAGAGAGTAGAAACAGAGGCAGGGATTCCAGGCAGAGGGGACAGTCAGTAGGAGGGGGGAGCATGAAGCTCAAGGCTAACCACACCTAGCTACGGCAGCTCAGGTTTAGGCAGCTGGAGAAGTGAATTGGGAGTAGAAGAAAGAGACCCTGTTTATGAAAACGGTGAGAGAAATCGGAAGGCACTGCTATCCAGATTTGCATTTGAATGAGAACTCACGTGATGCATTAGTGCATTAGCAGAATCAAAAGAGAGAGAAATGAGCCAGGTTTGGGGTTGTGGGGAAAGAGGGATTTCCAAGTACACCGTCCAGGCCTCCTACCTACTTCCTGTGGAGTGGACACTAAGGATGCCAGGTTCTGCTTTACGTAATTTGGTGGTAGCACCACTGACTGGATTTTCTCACAGCCCTCACAGTCTGAATGCAGTTTCATGACCGTGTTTTCCTGATGACCTTCTCGACTCACAATCTCTCCACTGGCTTCAGAAAAGCTATGTGACAACCTTATTTTTCTCACTTTGCTTGCGCATTAATTCTGCATTAAAATGCAAACACGTTTTAATCTGCTTTAAGTCTTTTCTGCAGAGGCATGTTTAAAATAAACCTATTTCTAGCTTAAAGGCCTCCTTAAAATGCCTCTAACTTTTTTTTTCCCATTAAATATTACTAAAGTTACTTCTTATAAATACATATATAAAGACTGAGAAATTTCACGAGTTTTATAAGGATTAGTAAATTAATGCCTGTATCGATGTGGTAGGATTATACATAGGACTTATTCAGTAGAGAGGAGCCCGGCTGCTGTCATTTAGCATTGTAGATACTATGCTGATACACTATACCCTTTCAAACTTTGACAAAAGCAAAAATATATATATATATATATATATATATATATATATATATATAATTAAAAACTTAAATCATCTTTGAGATTTGAAGTAGCTTACGTACAGACAAAATAAGAGAGATGTGAACTTGTTGTGAAAAAAATGAAAGCACTATCTCTGACAATTCAGCCAGATTTTTTTCACACCATTGTTGGACCAGGCCAGGGAGTGGGGAGCACACCTCACTCGGTGTGTACATAATGTAAAAGCCGTTCAAAACCATCATATCACAGACTGAACTGGAAATAGACTGGAGAGGTGATACAATGAAGCATACTCGAAAGGTATGCAAAGCAGGAAGTGTAGATTCTGTTTTTGAAATGCTGAGTTCAATACATAGTCCAAGGTGATGCCAGAGATAATTTTAAAGACATCATCAAAGTGGGTAAGAAAATATGATGTGCTGTCATATATATTTCAATAAGCTGAACTCTGATCTAGCATATTTCTTTTCAATAAAGAAAAATACTTTTGAGTCAATTAGAAGATATATCTGTCTATAAACATCTAAATGTCTACATATTTGTTTTCCTTTACTTCTTCATCCATCCATTTATCCATATTTCCAGTCATCCCTCATGTTCATGAGGTTTGTTTTCTCCTCCTACTTTAGATACCTCTCCCTCACTGGAATGAAGATCCTCTGGGTATAATTTATTCCCCTTTTCTGTACAAGATGTACTTTTAAAATTAAATATAATTATTATGAAACCATTCTAGCTAGTTTGCTCATGAAGCAAATACCTTCATGAGTTTGTAGCACATTCTCTCTGATGAAATACAATCCATTCTCTGTATACTCTATTTACTCTATAGCTTCATCAGGAGATAAGCAACCCGATTCATTTGCAAGTCCTAACCACCAGTATTCATTGTCTCTTTTCTTCCTTCTATTCTGACTGGTGGGAGAATAGCATAACTCATTTTTAAATAGAGATAACTTTGCTCCACTAAAGCTTCTTAGTTTTTTTTAATTGCACAACTGTCATCTATAATAGTGCTAATAAATATCAAGCAAACGTTGCTATTCAAATTAAGGATCTATTCTATTTTTCAGATGAAGAAAAATTCTTTTCCACTAGAGTTCAGCTATAAAATTTTCCTGGACAGGTGGCTGGAGAGGGGGCTCAGTGGTTAAGAGCACTGGTTGCTCTTCCAGAGATCCTGTGTTCAATTCCCAGCCACCACATGATGACTCAAAACCATTTGTAATGATATCTGGTGTCCTCTTCTGGCCTGCAGGCATACATGGAGACAGACTACTGTATACATAATAAATAAATAAATAAACCTTTTTTTTTTTAAATCCTTAGGCCAGTGTTCTTTCCATTCCAGTCCCCAGGTGTACCTTAGCAGCGCTATAAAACCAAGCGGGAAGGGCTATTACTGACCGTATGTAAACATTGAAAATTAAATTGTATAAGATGAAACCAATGTGGTAAGAAGGTGTGACTTTGGTGGGAGGAACTGGGCCTTGAGATCAAAGCCTTCATAGATGGAATGGGAATTCTTATGGGAAGCGGTATTAAACACCTGCTTAAGCCAAAAACATGGCCCTTACCCGAGCCTGAATCCACAGTCAACCTATGTTAGACTTCCCAGCCTCTAAGACAATAGAAAATAACATCGGTTACTCATACACCATCGAGTCTATGAGTTTTATTATGATAGTCAAACAAGGTAAAACCGAGGGGCATCGTGCTTCACGGAACCTTTCACTCCAAACTTTCTGAACACATGGACAACTACTCTGTTTCAGGGAGATGGGGGCGGACAATAGAATATCTTTAAAAAATTATTCTTCCTTCTAATCCAGCAGGAAAACAAAAGCAAATGGCAGAAGAATATAGGGGGCATGCAGTCAGCACAAAGGAGATGCTATGTATGGGTAAGGTCAAAAGAAGGGATAAGGAGGAATGGGGAAGGCACATGTAAGGGGAGTCAGCAAGAGGGAAAAGAATTCAATCCTGGCAATAGTCATCTTCTGAGCATCAGATCTAACAGATACAACCAGAAAGAAGGGGTGGACACACTGAAGAGCACCTGCTAGTGATTGCATGTGGCTGGGAAACTGAGAACGGTGAGTCACAGGCTAGCCAGCACATGTATAAGCAAAGAAAGATAGAGTGGGCACTCTGAAGCAGTCTCCCTGAGCCTCCACTGTGGACAGCTAATGGAGAGAATGCAAAGATTCTTCTGAGAACTTTATAAATTTAAATCGTTATAAATTCCAGTTGACTAAATTCTTTAATTTGAATGTAATTATAATCTATCCTAACTCCACAGACCCATCGGGATTAAACAGAAACGCTCTGGATGAACAAGACCTATTTATTATAAAACAAAACATCTCCTCCATGAATCAAATGGGCAACAGCTGTCTGGTCTTTAAAAGGAATTATCTCTTTTGTCCTAAGATTAGCCGGGCTGCAGAGGAAAGAAGGGAATTAACTATCATTATCAGTTCAAGTCACCCGGTAATTTCTGCAATGAAATAGCCCAACCATATTCAGAAATTATCATGAAAACACTCAGCTTTCCAGGTGAATTATTATTGAATTTATATTAACCCCTGGGCTAAGTATCTAGGGAACTTTTTTTCTTTTAAAAAAAGTTGCTAATGTAAAAAGATAGGCTGCTGATCGCTTAGTCTGGTCACATCCAGGGAGAGTTATTTGCCCTGGGGTCTGAGCTACATTGTAGTAAAATCAAAGGACATAAAAGCTGTGGCAGGAACAGTGCTGAAATTGGAGAAGCGTCATTATGAATAGCAACAAGCATGGAGATGCATATGGAAGAGCATCACGGAGTCAGTAAAACCACAGTTCTTCCTTGATCGATGGTGCCCAGATAGTTACAGCTCATTTGCGAAATCATCTACTGGGTAGGTATTTATGGATTATTATGCAGAATATTATTGAGGATAAGCCTGGTTAAAAACAAATACAGAAAAGAGTAAATGGCACAGGCAGGCTTTTAGGAAGGCCAGCATTTGGAATATTTTCAGGGGGAAAAAAAAAGTCAGAAATTCCACAAGATAGCTAATGTGCCTTAGAAGGACTCTCCATTTTAGGAGTGCATAAATCCACATAAATTGCTGTAATAAGGATCCATTCCATAGCCCTTTTGGCATAAACACACATCTGGTCTCTGTTTGTAATAAAATCAATTCGAAGCCCCAGAGCGCATTAATAATAAAAGTGTTCAACATATTGCACCTGAACAGGCCCAAATTTGAGTCTGAAGATCCCGTCACACATGTGTGTACTTTTAGCACTGATGACTAGGTTACACAACATTCAACAAGTGGCTGAGGATTCCAGAGGTACAATTTTCTATATTATTTTATTATTTCCAGAGGGGGAAAAAAATCCATATACATGTACGCTTAAAACTTTTGCTTGAAACAAAAAATTGCGTGCTTGATGGGCAGTGCCTCTTCAATGTTTGTATCTGTATGGTATGATAGAAATGTGGTTAATAATAAACTTAATATAAAGATAAATGCCTGGCTTAGAGGAAGTACATGGATTTGCAATTTAGAACAAAAGAATCCTAGAATTAGCACATCATGTTTTAACTTGAAAGTCTAATAAAATGAAGAAACTGTTATAGGTTAATTTTTAAAAGTATCTTATTTGGGTTCAGCAATAGTCATCAACAATCTAGAGACAGAACCTGCTAAGCCTTCCTCTTGGGTTTTGTATTTACCTTCTGTGTTATATGATTGACCCAAGGAGAAGAGCAGTTGCTGAGATCTGGTCCTTGGGGATCCCATATTCCATCAGGAGCAAGGCATAAGTAAGTTGATACACCTACAGAAAGAAAGAAACATTCAAACATTCAAATCACATTTCTTAGAATAACTTCATGTCTTCACCATACATATTTAGTATAAGCAAGGGTAAAAATTAGATAAGTGCATTGAAATATAGTATCTATTAAACTTAGACAAAGATTTGAAAGTAAATGGCATTGGGCAAGCGTTAAGAACAAATGTAAAAGGATTCAATGGTTTTAGGGGAGGGTGTGGGGAAGAATTTCATGAATGAAGGCCATGGATAGCTTGTCGTTGTGGATCTCTTGTTTGGATTTGCAGGAGGAAAACAATGTTAGCATGCGCGTTGTCAGAAAAACAAGAAAGCCTGTCATGGGTAGAGGAACTATGTTGCCTTTGGGAGACATCAAGATTTTTGAGTGGGGTTTCTCCGAGATGAAGGAGTTGTATTTAATGAAATGGAAAGGCAAGGAAGCTGGACTATAAATCCTTGCGTCTACTATGCTAGAAATTAGTTAAGATTGTTAAGAAGAAAAGAATGGTTAGATTCAGGTTGCAGCAGAATAGAGGACGGATCTGAATGGGACTGTGTTTAAAGAAAGGCAGCTATGACTAGAATTCAGTGAGAATTCTGTCTCACTGTGTAGGCCTGGTCTTAGGGGTTTAACAAGAGTTCAGAGAGCTATGAAATTGGGGCTCAGGCATACTCGCAGTACCATTTAAGTCCTGGGAGAGCCTCAGAAATAGTTCAGCCTCCACTAAAACTCTTCCCCAAATTCCACAGGACAACACTGATCTAGTTCAGTAGTATGAAGTGCCTGCAAACAAAGGTTTCCACTACTGCTCACAGGACGTGTCTAGAGCAGCAAGGCTGCTGTCAGCTCTCTTTCAGAGAGGAAGGAGTGACTTTTTAAGTAAGAAAGAAGGACGTCTTAAGTGGCTTGCAAAGGCCAATCCAACAGAAAACTTTAGAAACAAATATTCCCATTCCTTTTCAGAAAGAGAAAGAATGGCACTGAGATTTTGAACACTTTGCTAAAAGGAAAATATGGGCCTTTATACAAAACAAGACTTTCTGGTGTATCCACACTCCGTGTATTATGGAATCTGGAATGGCATATCCACATGGTTAAAGGAGTCAAGTGAATAATGTCTAAAGACAGTCCATAAGAATATATGCATATACAGCAATTACATATTTATTTTATTTATACGTTTTGAGGAAGGATACAAATATTTGTTGGTGTGTCAAGTATTATGAAGGTAAACGCAAAGGTCAAGTTAAGCAGTGTATTTGTCTTTAAAATGATAAATATGACTGCACCTTGAGATTATTATAAATTATGGCAGAAATAGAAAAGATTCAGGGAGATTTGGTTTTAAGTTATTTCCTGGAAGAAGCAGAGGGGATTGTTCTTTAATGGATGCTTGTGAGTGGGAGATAGATCTGATAACAGGCTCATGACCACATCACATGCCTTTAGCCACTAGGGAACAACAACATCATTGGTGAAAAAGATATTCATGATTTCTCCTCTTATAAATGCAAGATGTGATCAATGGTCACCAGGAGTCCACACAGCTCAGTTTCCGCCACCAATATTTAGCCATCATTGAGAAACAGAAAACAACCTGGATGTAATCCAAAGACAGTGCAGGGACGTTGCAAGGAGGACCCAGCTCTGTAGATCATCATTGTCCCCCAGAACTAACACTAAAAGAAAACTGTTACTCAAGGTATTTCAACCAAATTCTCACCTGTGATTTTCAGGTTCTGCTATGAAATGCTGATCACACAGCACTCATTTGATGGAACTCATAACCTAATCAAATCTTAATAAGGAAAATAGATGGTAATAACAAAATAAATAGAACTAAGAGGAAAGAAGAGAAGAGAAGAGAAGAGAAGAGAAGAGAAGAGAAGAGAAGAGAAGAGAAGAGAAAAGAAGAGAAAAGAAGAGAAAAGAAGAGAAAAGAAGAGAACTGAAGAAAAAAAATCAACACGAAATCCAGGCAGGCCTAAGCTAGGCTGGCTGGGGCTGGCTCACCTATTGTTCCTGCTGGGCAGGGCTGTTTTGCTACTTGCCCCTGACGGGTCTTAAACCACATTATTTCCCGGGCTTCCACAGCATCACAGCTCTCTTCCATAGCTGGAATCTGGGAGGCTGCCGATGGCAGGTGTGTGGTGATGTCATCCAGCACCTCCACAGCTGGGGACGGTGTGCTGGTACTCCGGTTTCTTCTGCCCGGCAACGATGGGGTGGTACTCCTCCCTATGTTCCAGGTCGTGGTCCGAAGAGTGGTGCTGGTGGTTGTGCTTCCCATTCCCAGGGATCCTGTGGTAGAAACTCCTGAAACACAGTGGGAAAACAAAACAGAGCAAAACACCTACATTGCTTGCTCATAGTAGGACCTCAGGAAGTCCCAAAATTAGAAATCACTTTTATTTGACAGTTGACGGAATGTCAAGGCCTTAGAAATCCATGACCTCATTTACCATTTAAACATGGCAAAAAAAACATGCCAGTACCGAGATGTCAGAATGCCAATTGATTACCAAAACAGCCATTTGACTACTACCAAACACAGGCTTTTGAGGTGTTTTTTTTTTTTTTTTTCAACTCTAATCACAGAAAGCAAAATTACAATACAGTGAGACTCTCTGTAAATTTCTTAATGCTTTCTGACAATAGCAAATTAAAACCTTAAACCTTCTACTTAGAATTTCAAACTTGATATAGAAAGAAGTTAGATATGATATTATATTAATATTAGATGTTATGGTTTGAAAAGAGTCTACCATAAGTTTATTTGTGAAAAGTTGGTACACAGATTTGAGAAATTGTAAAATTTGTAGGAAGCATTGCCTAGCTAGAAGGAATAGGGTCAGTGCAGCGGGAGGGGCTATATAGGTTATATCTCTGCCACGTGCTGGAGAAGCCCTCTGCTCTCTGATTCAAGGCTAGAGATGTGAGCAAGTTGACTCAGACTCCTACTGCCTTGGACAGTCAGTCTTTGTTATGCATGACCTGTTGGCCATGCTGAACTACAAAGTTCAAACTATAAATCCCCCTTACAATAACTAATATATTAGAGAATGCAAGCTTCTAAATATGACAAAGGCAAAATAATAAAATGACAAAGAGAGGACAAAAAAAGAAGTCATTACACACTCAAACAATTAATGAAAAAAGAGGCCACAGATTTGAAGGAGAGCATGGAACGGTATATTGCTGGACTAGGAGGGAGGAGAAGGAAGGGAAAATATTGTAATTACATTATGATTAATTCTGAGTGTGATCTTTTACTACACATCATTTGAGTACCTTTATGGTCTACCCGCATGCTTTGAGAACTGACCCAACTTTAAAAAAAAAAAAAACAATCAAATTTGACTTACTACGTAAGTAGCAAGTACATTCTAAGAAATTACATTGCTAAATTAGTTTAAAGAATATTTTTATGGGAGCAAATGTATTCTAAGTACCAAATGAAGATGCTTAGTGTTGAATGAACACGAGACACAGCATAGTCATCTACTATCACTAACGGAGCACTCATTAACAGAATTCTATTTCTGGGAAAATATATTTATATTCTTATGGTGGGGTTGTCAAAATGCACTACATAAACACACTGCAGTTGGAGCACTTGAAGTCAAAACTACTGACTTCACTTACTGACAGGAGATTCCAGGGACACTGGCTCTAGCCTCGTGTTAGCTACCTCATATTTAAAAGTTTGGGGGAGTCCTGTGGCAATTTTGCAATCCTTCATAGTCTACCTGATGTAAATTAACTTCATAGTGATAAAAGTATAATTGCAAACTCTCAGTTGCCCCAGGAGACATCCCACATTCATCAGAGAGACTTCGCTGTCCATAAAACTTTCCAATCCAGGGCTGATATGCCGGAGGCAAGGCATATTGATTGCCAAACATCAAATGACTGTAATGGTATCATTCCTATCATTATGTTCTCTGAATGCTAGTTTTCTTTGTTTGCCTTACCTTCTCAGTTTTCTGCTTTCTCTTTGTTTTCTTTGTATATGAAAGAAAAATAGGCAGGGAGAACGGCAAGGTAGGCTATTAAAAGTACAACCGCTTCAAGTTGAGACAAGAAGGCAGAGTGTCTCTTCTTTGTTCCTCTCCCAAGTAAATAATGTACTCCAAATTGCAAAGCTCTGCTGATTCTGTCTTTTTTTCTACCTGAAACCTGTGCAGTTTTTCCTTTCTTTCCCCAGTTGCTGCTGTACCGGGAGCCCGTCACCTTTGGGGAATGAGTACAGTAGAATTGTGAGTGTTTCCCTGACAGCTAAGCAGAGCAGAATGGCCATACTGTTCAGAATTTTATTGTTCCGAAATAAAAGCTCAGGGTTCACAAAATAGAATGACTAATTCTTATACCTGCTATGGATTAAATAACTTTTAACAAAATATTTCAAAATGTTAAAGGAAATTAATGCTTTAAATTAGAAACAACAAAACAAGACTAAAACATATTTCGATGTCAGCAAAAAAATATATAAAAAACATCATTGGAAGGTAAAAACAAATTGAAAATTAAATACTTAGCATTGCTAAGCATTTATTCATAAAAATTCATGTGAATGTGTCATCACTGAAATACAAGAATATTTTAAATTTTTTTCAGACGATAATTTTTTTTTCAATTGAGAGAAGATGCTTACTACTTGGGGAGTGTTAAGGCAAGAGTTAAAAGAGAATCTCATGTGTTTTCTCTTTAATTTAGACAAAGCTAGCTCTCATTTGTGTGTGTGAAAGGACCACTTAGAGGACTGTGATGCTTTTGACAGAAACTATAATCTTTTCATTGATAATAAGCTGCAGTTTTTATTTCACACAAAGCCTTGCTCGTTCTTTGTCTTTTTAAGTTTGATCATGTAAAAATGGAGATGTGTAGAGTTACCTGCTATTAGCTAAATAATCTTATGCTCAAATTAACTTGTTTTGCGAACCTCTTTGAGCTGAAAGGAAAAAATACTTTTAAAATAGAAACTGTTTTTCAATTGTCTTCTTTCTCAAGAATTATGCAGGCACTAAAGAATGCTTTCAAGATGAATGCCTTTCTAATGCTGGATATTTTGATTAGCACGTAACTAGGAGGGAGATTAGTTCAGCAATAATTTTATGTATAAAGGTACGTAGTTGTGTATATGTACAAGAGGAGCCTTGAACCTGCCATCTCAACTGTACATTTCACACAGGACAATGGCAAACTTCCACAAAATTTTTGCTTGTAGTGACTTCAGCCTTAAAACTTTCAAATAGATCCTTTAGTATATGTTCAGTGTGTGTCACTGTAGTGCTAGCAAGCAAAACAGCATTTTTAAGACGACATCATCACAGGAAACCATTTTATAAATAATAGTCCCATGTGATAAAATAAAAATTATGATTTTTCTCCTCTTTTTCAAAAATTAACTCACTCAAAGCTTTTTCTAACTTTCTCAGAAATATTTCTTAGAGTAAAAAAAAAAAAAAAAAACCTAGATAATGTTACTCTCCCTTCCAAACTTTTAAATGGTGTCTGCATACTCACCAAATAAAATGAGAACATTTTTACTTTATGCTCAAAGACCTTCATGAACTTCTCCAGGTCATTATGAATACTCTCATCTTTTTAACTCATTATTTAAACCACACAAGGTCCACAGTCCAGCACCTGCACCCTCTTCCTCTGTCACAGGGATTTTTGTCCATGCTAAAGAGCATCATTGGCCCATTGACATCTCACTACGTCCCCATCTCTCCTCTGAGTCACATACATCTCCATCAAAGAGCCTTTTCAAATTCCCTAAGCCTGGCTTATATGCTAGCACATGTTTTGTTAAAATTATTTCTTCTGAAGTTGGCCTTACCAAGGGCAACTAAAACTCTAAGTTAAGACAGTTGAATGTCAGAGATAGGGCAAGTAAGGAAGCAGTAGAAGACAGAGAATCAGCAAAAATCAGCAAGACTATGCAAATGAAATAGCACATGGCAGCTAAATGTTTCTTAATGTCCAGTCTAGAAAATTTATCTTATACATGAATCTATGCTTACCACTAAGGAAAACCAATAGACGACACAAAGAGAACAGAACCCGAGAAAATGAATGTCTTTCCTTGAAAATGGTTGTAAATCAATACAGTCATAGTAAAGTATATATGTTCTAAAAAACAAATCTTAGCTCAATACAGACAACCTAATTCTAAGAACCAAAGATGGTTTCTTTCATTAGAACCGAGTCACTGAGAATTGTCTAAAAGTGGGGACTGCCCAATTTGGTTGAAATTTAATCAAAGTAAGAGTCACTTATAAACAGCTATCTGTGCTCTCTCCTCCTGGCCCTTTTCGCTTACTGCCATGCTAGGATCCCATGGGCTCTGTTTGATGCCAGTTTTGGCAGAGTAACTACTAGTGAGATGCACGATGTCCCCCAGGGTTGGGAAAGAACTTGCCTTATTGATAGATATTGACAAAAGAAAACTCCAAACCCTCAGAACTGCCATTGCCCATTGGGTTCCAGCCCATATCACATGCTATGAGACTGCCTTGGTCTTCTATAAGGAAAAAGTGTTGTGGATGCAGCAGAAGAATCTTACCCGAAGACAGAGAAAGCTTAATCAAACTGTGTGCTAAATGTCCTGTGTGCTGTGCACTTTGGAAAGTTTACTGTGCGAAAAAAAGTAAGTTTGAGTGACTTCTTACATTTAGCATTTTATCCTAGTTGAGAATTTTGCTACTTACCAGCATTACATTTCCTAGCGTGTTTCATAATAATAGCTAAACAAAATGACATATTGAGTTTCCCTTCATAGCCTTATCCCACACACCCACACATACATTAAAAAAAAACTTAAGTTCTTCTGAATCTTGACATGTAATGTCTGTAGTTTATGCAATTTTTATTATTTGACTTATTTTCTTTAATTTTTTTCCTCCAGCCTGTCTTGAACTGTTAGTACTTAGAATATTAATGCACGTTTTATAGACTATACAAACATAAAAATGTGAAAACAATGATGTTTTTTTACAGTGACTGATGTTTTCTAAATGACCAAAAATACAGTGATTAATATTACGAGTTATTCATTTTAAAATGGAAAAACATGGATCATCATCATATAAACAGGAAGTGATTTGTTCTCCTCTGGATGCATATCTTATGTTTACAATACTTTGCTATGAAAACTAACCTCTGACTCTGCTCATATCTGAGAATCTAGTACTTGGAGGTAGTGGCTGGATGACCACACATCATAGTCCAGCATGGACTGCACAGTGAGAGCCGGTGTGAAGCACACAAGTTGGTTTAGCTCAGCAGCGGGATGCTTCTCTGGCATATAC